TGTCAAGAACATGCACTAGATTGCAATCTGTAGCTCAAATAATACGAATCAACGAGAACATGTTGATGCGTAAGAATTTTCACTAGGTCAATAATCAAATGCCGATGCTTAATTTATTGATGTAATTGGTAAAAGTCACTTTTTCGAAAGCTATTTCAAACAGAATATTTTTTTGTTACATTTCAAAATTCTAGGCTCCTTGCTACGATAGAAATGTCAAGTGTATAAACTTGACGAAAAAAACTTACAAACAGTGTCAGGGATGGCAGGGTATTCCAGTACCTGAAAGCGAAGGTATTTCAAGTGCCTTTGATATTAAGGTATGAGATTTAATTTCATATTAAAGTAAATAATTTATGAAAATTCAAAATCGAAGAAATTTGCATAATCAATTTCAAAAGTTTTTCAATCCTCTTTAAACTTGATATTAGGTAAATTTGTCATGCTTGTTATATTTTAAAACTACCTGCTGACTCTGTTCATAAATTCGATTCCAAAATTACTGAGAGTAGTATCTAAGATAGTGTCTAAGATAAACTTCGAAAATAAGTGATTTTGAGGTGCTAACAGCAAACATTTCGGAGTTAATGAACAGCATTGCTCTTGCGCAAGAAATCGTTGCACTCTGCCCAAGATGCGTTATCTTTGGACCAGCTTATTACTCGTAAAATTTAAGACTGATACATATATTTGTTTACATTTCCTTCGATTCTAAATTTGCAAGAATAAAAGCTAGACTGTGTAAAGCTCATGGATTTAAGAAATCAAGTTTTTAAGATCGATAGATCAGTGCTTGCAAAGGATCAGCACAGATCGTGAAGGATGGCCAAAGCCGTTTCAGTGGTGTGATTTGTTTCAGTCTTCTGATAATTGTATTGCACACTAAAATATTTTGAGAATATTTTGTTCTCTGTTGTTATTCTACTTTGATTTTGAGAAAAACTTCATCTCAAAAGTTAGACGTTAATTTAATTATGACAAATAAGTGTTGCTGAAATCATTGCTGACGTAAGTGTAACTAACAATTTATGATTTATTCTTTGACAACAAAATGAAATAGAATTAAATTGTAATAAATGGGGCATTAAAGTAACATGTATTTATGGTAGCAAATAAATAGAATTAATCTTATCAATGACTGATTTCAAGTTTCAAGTTTGTCTCATTTTTCAATGGTGTTCTGACTACTAATTTATGAACAAAATAAAAATTTGACATTGGATTTGTTTTATTTGAAAACACCAGTTTAAAGGTGTATAATCATTGTACATATATAATAATGTGCAGCAGGTAATCTGTTTACTTGATTCTTGCGTTATATCGCTTCTGGCACGATCGATGTACTCG